TGGGACAGCTGACCCCAGTTGGCCAAAGGGCTATTCCATACCATATGACATCATGCTCAGTATATAAACTGGGGGGAGTTGGCTAGAGGGCAGTGAACACTACTTGGCAATGGGCTGGGTGTTGGTCAGTGGGTGGTGAGCGGTTGCATCGCTTGTTTTTCTTGTTTTTTGTTTCTCTTGTTTTCCTTTTAATTACAATATTGTTGCTGTTGTTATTATCATTATTAATTATTAAACTGTTCTTACCTCGGCCCATGAATTTTCTCACTTGTGCTCTTCAGATTCTCTCCCTCATCCCACCAAGGTGGGGAGGGTGAGTGAGCAGCTGTGCGGGGCTTAGTTGCCAAGTGGGGCTAAACCACAAAACAGGGCAATGACATTGGATCTGTTCATGTATAGATTCCTAAACCATAGCAGCTTTCATATTAACCAACCAGATGCTTAAGAGTGGTAGCAGACAGCAGTCCGATTTTAATCCCCATTCACAAATGCTTCGGAGATGGAGTATGTGTGATGGTAGATTTATACACAGTGCCAGGAAACTGCCTGTCTGACCATGCTGAAGTATAACAGTAAGTCTGAGGTAGTATGTCCTGCTTCTCAGCACTCTAGAAGAGAGGGTAGGCATGTTGGCTTGGAGGAGTGAGCAGCCATCAGCATGAGCCTCACCCGAATGAATATCTGATATTGTGATATTTTATCTTATCGAAAGCAAGGTTGGATTCAGTAACAACCACATGCTTGTATGACTTGATGTGTTGACCTTGACTGAACTGGTCTTCATCAGCTGTTCCTAACAAGCTTGTGGAAGCAGTAAGAGAATAAAGTCTTGGGTTCAGCAACTCTTGATTTTTCCTACTGGCACATGCTCAGAAGAATGTTGTAAAGATAGAAAGCTTTTCAGAAAGCTGTTTCAGCATGTGGGCAGTACAGCTCATCTGTCTGCAAAAAACTACACTATGTTTTTTCCCCATCTGGGGGATATTCTGCTGACTAGGTTTTGGGTTTTTTTTTCACCTGTAGCCAACAAAATGTGCAGCTGGCAAAACCAACAGTTTATTCAGCTGCTATGGATTTGTTTTTTCTCTCCTGTTTCTCTCTTCTGTGTTAAAATTCAAGAAGTAAATTAATGCTGGCATTGAGGCCAGTCCAAAACTTTTACGGTATTTCGGTCATACTCAGTTATCTTTGATTGCTTATGTGAGACTGAAGTAATGTATGTTTGGTGTCGGACGGGTTTGCTAGGAGGATATGAATGTATTTTTATTTATCAAAGACCTTTGTTATCCCAGATTGATATATCCAAAGACATTTTTCTTTCTTTTATGGCTATTCATGTTTTCTACCACTTATTTCCATCTTAGCAAAATGAGAAAGAATCAAAAGTCTCTTAATCTAAATCTTTTATTTGGTCTGGACTGAAAAGGTATTGAATTGCTTATATGACAGTTGGGACCTGACAGGTGTAACATCTCTTTCTAATGCCCTTTATGCAATGTTTCTTAATGTAAAAAATGGTATAACAAAAGGAAAGAAAATCTGGGACTTTGGTTTACCTTCTTTTCTTGTTAAAGAAGGTGAAAAGTTCAATTGCCACAAGGTGAACTGAGATTACATCCTGCAGCTAGACAGAATGTAAGAGAATTTAAAGAAACCTTTAAAAAAAGTCTGACATAGTATTATCATTTCCTATATAAAATAATTTAATATTTTAAATACTGTTTAAATAATTTATCTGTATTTAAAACTAACCTTTTAAAATTTTATGTTTGGAACTTTTTTGGCATTAACACTTAATTTTTTTTAAAATATTAAAAAGTCTTTTAAATATTCAATACAATTCAATATAAAACCAGAAAAAAATAATATACATTGTTCACACATAGTATTGTACATGACAGCTGAGCTCTAGAGTGAGCTTTTGAATTTGTCAGGCTTAGCTGTTGTGAACCACTTGGTTATCCTCTCTCCAGACTCTTAAGATTATAACAGATCCTTAACCATCAATATGTAGTCTTTAATATTATATACACATACTGTATACAGTGTTTAATTTCCATCTCTAAGCCCAGAATTGTAAACAAATATTTTTCCCAGCATTTAGCTCAAAATATTGTTTAGCGCATACACAAATATATTTGACACACACAATTTGACAAGAAACATACCAATTTTGCTCAGCTCAGTTACATGAAAATTTAACTCATAGATGCAAAATAATGTAACTGAGAAGTTGTTACTGTTGTATTTAAAATTTATAATAATCTTATTACCAAATGTTTCCAGATTGTGTTAGCAGTAGGAAAATTAGGATTTGCTTGTCCCCTTCGTGCATTTTCATTAATCCTGCCAATGATAAAGGCAGCAGTTTAGGCATGATGCTGGTGTCTTACAGCTACTTTGTCTAACAGCTGGTATTTGCTGACAGTATTACAAACTTTGACAGTGTTATAAACTCAGTATTACAGACTTTGGCAGGACTTCACTGAAGGCCAAATACCAGTCTCCAGTTTTTAAGCATAGGCATGTCTGTCATTGATAATGAAGTTTACTGTCAAATTGTAAATTGCTTTCTCCATCCTTCTGTAAAGAACCTCCTGTATTTAGCAAGATGATTTCTACAGATACTGTAAATGGATTCTGGTGGAAAGAGGGATACTCTCATGCTTCCTGTATTACATGTGTCATGTATTATGATAGCAATAGTTGTGTCCCATTGTACAAGGTAGTGGCCAAAATTCTTCATTTCTTCTTGCAAAATTCTTCTCCCAGAGGACCCCAAAACTTTACAAAGACTGAATGGAACATTTTACAAAGCTACTTAGGGATACTTGCAGAAGGAAAAAAAAAATTGCAAATCAATGTTCACATCAAGAAGCTTAGACTAGAAACATTACTCAAAAGAGCAGCACATGCCACATGATATGTGTAGTTACTCACAAATGAACAAAACTCATTTCAGATTTTGGACTCAGTTTCCTATTCATATGCAACCTACAAACTAGAAATGATTTGCAGGAATTATTGCATGGCTAATTCTTAATAATTGTTCCTGAAAATGTAACTTTTGCACAGATAACTGATAAACAGTTTCAAGAAGGATTTGAATGCTTTGCTCGTGTCTTTGCAGTGTGAGATTCTGAATGAACCTTCAGGAAGACAGAATTCACAAACTGTGAGAAATATCCTGCCTTCCTTTCACTCCTCCTGGCCTTTTCTCTGGCATGAAGGTGCTTGAGCAAGGTGTTCACTCAGATGGTGGACTGTACCTATGGTGACTCTGGGCTTGGTTTACATGTAATTTGATTCTCCTGCTTTCAGGGGAGCGGACTCTGAAAAGGAAATTGTTACCTAGGGAGAATAACCATTTCAGTCACTTGATTTTAATCCAGTTTAAGAGATAAACTGAGGCCTTGAGTTTATTTCACAGTAAAAACATGGTACAACAACAGGCCTCCATTTGTGTTTCTGAAGACCTCAGCCAAAAAGTTGGGATTCTATAGGATAAAGCAAGCAGACAATACTAAACTAATCCTCTCCCACATCTTTTACCACTTATATCACTGATCAGCAATACTGGTGTGCCAGCAAGAGACTAATTCTCAGTTGTTTTGTAATCATGAAGTTTCATGTCCTGGTATTCTCAGCTCAGCCTTTTTCATTATGACATTGAAGTCAGCTAAGCGTATTTTGATGGGAGAATTCCAGAATCAGAAATAACATAAAGTGATGAACTATTAGTTTTGCCTTTGCAAGTGTCTCTCTAGACTTAAGAGAATTTGTATTTAAGTCTTAACCTTTCCTTGGACATATATGCAGTGTGTATATATAAATACATGCTTATACAGTTCATAGTTTCTGTCAGACCCAAGAAAGCTTTATTATTCATTAGTGCCCTTCGGATGATAAACTGAGCAGAAAAGGTGCCGTTTTCTTGTATGGTGACTCAACAGAAGGGGGCCTGTAGAAGGCTAAGCATACAATGGATCAAACATTTAACTTTTAAATTAAAACCTTGATCTCAGGATTTAATGGGTTCTTTTTGCTTTAGATTCTTCATTTATGCTTAAATCTGTATAAGACACTGAGTTACTTTTTCTGCATTGGAATCCGGTTAACAGTAGAGAGACAAGTGTGTGTATTTTTATTTTAAACAAGTGAGGATAAAGACATCATAAATCCTCCTTTTTGATAGTTAAAAAGGTCATCAGTTGAAAGAATTTCTTTCTGGGGACAAGGAAGAAGTACTAAACACTGCAAAAATTACTGTGAAGCCTTTTTAAGAATTCAGGCCAAACTCCTAGGTCAAATCCAGAAAGATATAGAAGGTCAAGTTACGTGGTGTATCATCTTAACTTTCAGGTTTCTGGTGTCTCAGACAAATTCAGAATCCTGTAAAGTCACATATGCTCTGTGTAAAACGCGCAGAGGGAGTTATGGTTCTGACCGGTTATGAGTGAGCTGAAGAGCTGCATATCACAACTTAGTAAGAAGCAGTAACTGAAAATCAAGCCATTTCTCCCTCTTCTCTCTGCTGTTTGAGCTTCCGTCTATTCGGATTTAATCCTCTCCTAAATGGAAGTGTTTATGTCACTCATTCAAATAGTTAAGATGGACTACCTTCTCTCTTTTATAACAAATTCTGGAAGAAGTGACATTTCTGGCATTGCCTAACTGTTATTTTGTAATAGCCAGTTCAAAAATATGTGAGAGACGGTGGTGCCATACCCTGTTGTTCTGAAGGGACTCGCAGCCACTTTGCATCTCCCACAGAAGAGTGCTCAGAGGAGCTACGCACAGGCAGCCCAGGGAGACATCCTTGGCTTCCCTTCCCTTCTGAAATGGTGCCACTCTTCCGAAAGAAACTCAGGACCAGAGAGGGGGGCAAAAGAAAGCAGACAAAGAGAAGCAGTATACTCATTAAGAACAAGCAAACAAACAAAAAACACACTCTTATTTGCTACATACCATACTTCAGAGAATCAGATTTTAGTTAGGAGTTAAGCAAAATCTTTAGACACAGCCTCTACAAAGTTTGGTGCTGACATTAAAATACCAATTGTACAAATGATTGTAAAGACTGAAAAAGCCATCAAGCAGAGCCGATCCACTACAGAGGCTGCAAACTTCCATTCATTGCAAATGGCTTCTTCTTCATCCTGGTCTCTGAATCGGTTTGCAATGTACCTGACCTCTTCCAAGATCTTAGCCAAATCTGGGTCACCTTCAGAGGGGTGACCACTGTGCAGCAGGTTTTCTTCATCTGTTGGTGAGCAGGTCATCCTCCCACAGATCACCCCTGAATCAGTGGTAGGTGTGCAGTGAACCCCTTCCAGCCCCCTAAACCCAATGTATAGCATATTCCCATTACTGGATTGCTGTCCACTCACAGTGTTCATCTCCACACTTGATAGGCTACATCGACGCTGTTTATGTTGACAGGCAGGACGCACTTTATCTTCCCCTGGTCTTTTCATCCTCAGAAACCAAGCACACCAGTTGAGAAGGATGATTCTTGTCTGAAAGAAAATTTTTGTGAATAAGCATCTGTTCACACAGCCACTGTCTTTGGGCGCTAATGGTATTTTTGCAGCCTGAGTGACTGACTGATCCAGTCTATTTAGTCTGCACAGGAGTTCCAGAAAATGGTGCCAGAGTTTTCCAACTGATTAATTTGCCAATCACTGAGGCTGCTTTCTTATTCTAGCAGTACTGTTGATTGCCTCAGGCTGACTATCGCTACTGGGATTCCTCCCTCCTCAGATAGGAGTCTCCATAGTGTTGAATTTTCCTTACACTTGAACAGCAATATGGCAGCCTTTTCCACCTTTACTAGAAACCATTAATTAAAAAAAAAAACCAACAAACCACTGGGTAAAGAGGAATTACTTTTTAATAGTCTTAATAGCTCTGCTTTAGATTATAGTCAATAAATTACAATTCTTTCACTCATATTTGTGTTCTAATATTAAATTCACATGACATTACTTTTTGGAGGGGGCTGCTAAAACAGGTGCTAGACTGGACTGGACTGGACCACCATGCTTTACAATATTTTGGTTCTGTTCTAACATTGCTTTCATGACAGTTGATTGCAGATTTTAGAAAACAGATCTGGATATAGCATGGAGAAAAGATGGAAAAATTATGTTGAGTTAAAAAAAAAAAAGCTTCACAAATTTAATCATCATGTATCATTTTACTGTTTTCCACATTGCCTTAATCCAGCCTTACAGAAAGTACAGGCAAGCCAGAGACTGTTCCAGTTCAGACACAAGCTTCTGTAATTTATTTCAATCAGATTTTAAGAGCTCATTCCAGTGTTTCTTTTCCAGAGCACTAATGAAATATTATTGTCTCATATAATATGTAAATCTTACACTGTAATTAATATTAGATTTGGTCCACTTATTCTGACTGTGGATTGCCACTCAGAGTAGATATTATATCCAGGCAAACATCCCAACCAGGGACAGATCTTGCCCTGTTACTCTATTTACACTATCAGGCTTCAGCAAGAAGGGTAATACTCCATTAACTAAGGGTCTGATCCAAAATTCACCAGTATCCAAATAATGTTTAATGGACTTGAACTTTTCAACACTAAATCTCACTCCTCAACCTCAAGTACTCTGTTTGCTGAGGAAGTTTGGCTCAATACTAAATATTTGTCCCCTTTAGGTCATCAAACTTGCATCTAAAGATATATACCTCTTATTCTCTTAATTGAAATTTATTTTAAAGTCACTACCCCAGAACAGGCCAGGGAATATCTCATTATCTCTTGTGCACAGGCACTGCTGTATGCACATTCTTTCTGGTTAGTAAGGATAGTAATAAGTCATTGTTCTAGAGAGAAAAAAAGCGAAAGATCTCTCCATCTTCTGTAATGTCTGATGCTGCCCTGAGCTGCATGAAGTCAGGAGTGGACAGTTAGCTGATAAGGCTCATCAATATTTAGTAATCCAATCCAATCAGTGTAATGTTCTCTGTAAAAACAACCACTCACAGAAGTACATTATAAAGAAAGTCTGATGTGCTTAGAAAAAGACTTTAATTTTCCTTTGTACTTTACAGATGTTCTTGACCAGAGACGTAAAGATGAGGATTTTCAGAGCAAGTTTCACTTCCACTTTAACAGCCATCTTTAACAAGTGCTTTTTAGGCTATTGATGTTTCTGTAAGCACAGCAGCTAAATATGTAGCAGCTGCACAGTTGCACCTTGAGGCTAGTGTATTTAATGCATTTATAATGTCCATCAGCACCTTGCTCTTTCCTTGTACCTGTTTTACTTCTGACATCTGCAGCTTATTTGAAAACCACCTTCATTTATATATTTAGGTTTTAGCAAAATCCTGAGGTGCTTCAAGCTGTTGTGAAGGAGATTCTGAATATAGAAGCAAGTTGAGGGATAGTCATTCTCTCTCTCTCTCTCTCTCTCTCTCTCACACACACTCTAAGAAGCCAACCACACAAAAGGTGTCTTACCCATTTAGGCATTTTCCCCCCATCTGGATCATGATGATGGTATTGTAGAACAATAACAGTGACAACAACAGAAAGACCAACAATAATCATAGTGCTGGCAAAATACTGAGCTGCAAAATAAACAAATAATTACAGCAATATACTTTGGCTGATATTGCTTTGTAGCTATTACAGGGGGTGTTTATATACATGCATACATAGTGTTAAGTTCCAGTGTAGTGATAGATGTGCTACTTTCAGTACTTGTGAAGGATTTTTCAAAAGCAGAAAGAGTGCCTGTTATTTTGAGAGGATAGCCAGCCTTTAGTAATTGTCTTTGTGGAACTGAAGCACCTGACTTTTCTAAACAACCTTGAAAAAAATTGTCCTCTAATTTTCTTTCACCAGTATTGTAGAAACTGCCTAGTACTTCTTTTCAGAAGTTCCTCTTTCTGTTTGTGCAATTACAATGGGAAGATTTAATCATGTTTAGCTCTGTATTCCTAATGCCTGGCCAGTTGTGTCGAAACTGCAACAACCTACTCCATGGAAAACTGACTCTCTTATGCTTTCCCAAAATACACATAGGTTCTCTATTTTGTTCAGAGCAGAGAGCATGAAAGTTGCATAGGGAATCACACCCATCAGAGCCTCTCATCAGCTGGCAACATTTTTCTAATTCTGTTGCAGTAGGCCATTGTACGGATTGTAATTTGCTTTACTGCTGGCCTTCATGCAAAGTCACTGCACGTCATTTGACAAAAAATAAAAGTGAATAAAAGCTGTAGTTAACTTACCAATTAAGGGCACGGAATCAGATGTTGCTGGCATAATTTCAGCCACAAGTAACATGAAGACAGTGAGAGACAATAAAACTGTTATACCTGAAAGATAAACATGAAGTATGAAATTAGATCAGTAGCTTGTAATTACAAGGCAGTAAGAAGCAGAAAATGAATCTGAAGGAGTGCTCTTTGCAAGATGCATTCCCACTGTTATCCTCACACCAGCACATTAGTGGTACTCTCTATCCTTTCTTGTACTACCTCAAGTTCAGGGTAGCAGTGCTGCCAAATTAGTACCAATGCTTGCACAGACGTATATATTTTTAGGTATTTGTAGCTGTTCAACTTTTATCACCATTTGCTAATTAGCTGAGGTAAATCAAAGCAATTCTTGCTGCTTGTTTGCTTTAGAAACATGGTGTGATTTTGAGTATTCAAGCATATGACACTTGATTAGTTAGTGTGGAAGCTACAGGTGGCATAATGCATAATATTCCTGAAAAACAGATTTGCTGTCTTGGACAGATATTGATATCTTTTGATATTAGCTGTTGGGTTCTGCACGTGGCTATGCCCAACCAGTCTCGACTGTTGATTTTTGGAGTTTGACTTCTGCTGCACATCTTTTTGGAACAAGGTTTAGCTCTTTTCTCAGGACTAGTATTAAAATATAAGGAGTCATTGTCAGGTGGAAAAGAATTTAGGAACAAATAATACATCTTAAAATATGGGGAGAGACTTTTTGATTAGGGAGGCTACTACTCAATTAAACCATGTTCTAGAGAAATGTCAGTTTTCTTTCTGCCTTTTAACAGCTATGTTCGCTTAGTAGAAGCCAGTGCATTTCTAGTTTTGTATGGGGCAAAAAATTTCATTACATATTTAACCTCCATCTTAAGGATCATTAATCAGATTTGTTTCATAAACCAATACTTTAAAATTTGCTATAAAAATTGGAATAGTAGCAGATCGAATCAGTCTGAGAAGGCACCTTAGGCTCTTAGTACAACTCACTGTTAAAAGGAAGTATTAAGAAGAATTCCATGTTAAAGTGTTCAAATGCATATTTGTAAGCTTAAGCTTTACTCAGTGAATACAGGTTTTTCTTCACCAAATAAACGTCAAAAAATAAAACCCTGCTTCTTAAGGAAGTTCGTCAGGAATTGTCATGCTTCTGCTTGGTTGGCTGGAATTTCTCCATTTCACAACTTCAGTGTACCCTTAGCTGAGTGCAAGGGTTAAACATCACACAGCTTCAGCATCAAACAGTAAAAATAGCTCATGAGGCAGAATAGGGCACACAGGCTATTCCTCCTTGCCTACTAAGGCTATTTAAAAAACTTTAAAAAGGACAACTTCTTTTGGCTTGGTCATATTTACAATATCCTGTTAAGGATTTACCTAGTGAGATCTTTTCTCCCGAGTCTGCTGGAAGCAGAAAAACTAACAAAGCAAGTGCTGATATCAGTACACAAGGAATAAGAAGATTGAGTCCATAGTAGAGAGTCCTACGTCTCATAGTTACTGTGAATGTTACGTCTGGGTAGGGTTCTTTACAACATTCATAAAAACTCTCAGTTCTCTTCCCAGGAACTCCTGTGTAGAAGGGAAAAGGAAGAAAACCAGAAATTAATGTGAATAAACTGTATATTTTGTAGTAATTATTTTTAAAAAGGATAAATGTAGCTTTCTAAGTTTTACTATAGGTAACACTACTTCTTTAAGCTTAACTCCCAATTAAGTAATTTCTGACAGGTAATAAAGGAAAATCACATAAAAGATACTTACTGAATTCAAGGAGCAATTTTGTCACCTTATGTTGATTTTCATCTTACATCTGTTCTCAGAGTTTCAAATGCCACTAGCTAGGTCATTTATTCATTTAATTTCTGTCTTCATTTCCTAATTGTTATTCCATCCATTTCAGCAGTGGAGACTAGGCTGCAAATTCACAGTGCAAATAAGAAATCAAGAGCTTACCTACTAAATCCCACTCTCCATTTGAAATATAGCCAGATATATCTGCTTCTTGCATTTGTAAGTCCAAGGACCAGCCTCCGTAAGTCCAGGATCCAAACTTCAGGTTACACTTCTGAACATCAAATGGAAACCAGCGTACATCTATGTAGCATGAGCTTTTAAATATGCCTAGATTGGATTTTAAACAAGAGTGCTTAATTTAAATGCTTGTTCCACATAATTTCATGTACATTTTGTAACCAGACCTTGTGCTACATTGTGCCCTCTGTTTTTTCTCTTGTAAAGCATATTTAATCTCAGTTGCGTCTTGACATATAAATAGCAAAAGTCAATCATAGAGAAGGGAAAGAACTGCACCATTAATGTAGTAATTTTATAAACTGTTTTTTGAGCTACATTTCCATTTTGGCACATAGACGGAGAGTGTTTAGAGAAGAGCTCAGGTTTCTAGATACTGTATTTCAGAAAGAAATGAAGCAGAATATGCAACCTGCTTCTCCTGTTTCTTTAACTGAATAAAACAAGAAAACATGAAAGATTATTTGCTATCTTATTACATTTACATGATCTTGATTTATTCAGGAAAGCTAGCTTCTTCTTTTTCATTTGTTGAGTCAAGCCCTGCCACTTAGCAGCTTTCAGAATTGAATTGAAAAATGCCTACCAAATGGAACATCTTAAATCAAAAGAACAACAGGCAAGCCCTGAAATCATCTGGGGGTCTTACACGGAAAACCTAATTTGTCTGGAAAGCACTTGGGTCTATTGCTGTAGTTTCGAAAATTCAGATTCTAGGAAGAGTTAATTCTAAGAATTGTGCTAATTGTGTTTGGGAACAGAAACAGTACGCTGCTATAAATCCAGAGAGTCAGTGATATGTTTCTGATATCAAATAAATATCAAACACATACTATTTGCCTTTCAGACTAAAAATTGTTTTGATGAAGCATCCAGTGAATAATTTCAAATAGAAGATACATCCAAGAGGTTACTAAACATCGTATTGTAAGTTAATTATTAATAGAAGAAACAGCTAAATTAATGAAATAAATATTTATTGAGAGGCATTACCATACCTTTAATAAATGATATCTTTTCATATTAAGGGCTTTTATTTTTTGTCTTCTTTAATACTTCCACACTTCTGAAATAGTGCATTATGACAGAGTATTTTACGTAATAGCAATAAAAAAATATGTCTTGTATGGTGGTTTTCACACAGAAGCCTTAACCATGTAATTCACAATTCATCTAGGCTCAAATCTATCAGATGATGCTAGCTAGATAAATATCAGAGAATTTATGTCAAATTTGAAAGCACACCATACATACGTAGTCTGAGTTATCAAAATTTATTACATGAAAACAGCCTACCTGGTGGCAGATATTGGCAATGTCCTGAAGAATTGACTAAAACATTAGTGTGAAATGTAGCATCAAATCTTTCATCAGCACTAGAATAGGGAAGAAACAAAATGGGTTATATGCCTCTTGACTGGCTGAAGAATATCTGAGATGAGTGTGTTCTTCCTAAAAGAAGGAGCTTCTCTCCTGTCATCTGTTTTCTGTGGTCTCAGAGTAACTGGCCTGATACTACTGGATTTGTTCCTGATTAACAACTGTAAGTGAAGGTGACACACCTCATTCTTATTGCTCACCTATTCCACTACGTTCATTACAGTGCCTCAGCTCTATTGATTTCCATTTGGAAAGTAAGCACTTTTAAAAAACTTCTCAAGCAACTGTACAGGGAAATCTCTTCTCTTGCTGTCTACATTACCAGCAGCTAATGAATACTGGATACTCTAGTATCTCATCCTACCCCTTTGCATGCGTGGATGTTATTACTACATGTCTTACAGAAGACTCTTTAATGCAGCTCCAGCCTTCATAATCTACTTCAGACCCCAAAAACTGGGTTCAGCAAAAAAACCCAGAAACCCTATTAGAGTTGCCGGTGTAGTGGTGCTGGCCAGGACCACCCTGGTGTGCCGTTCTTACAAGTCTTTAGAAAAGAATTGTAATGTTACTTGGAGAGTACTTCAAATTATAAATTGGCAGCTCCTGCCAAGGGGTATCTCAACTACATCTGACCCTATGACCCAGGAAATTACTAGGCATTAAAATTTTAAGAACTTCTAGATGGGAAACAACCTAATATTTAGATGATGAAATAAGGACTCCTTCCTATGAAAAGTTTATTAAATTTGCTGAGTTAAATCTCTCTATGAAAGATGTTTAGATTGCTTAGCATTGCAATGGATATATAATCGTACAGTATTCTGCCCTATTTCACAGTTCCCATTTACTACTGCAGGTTTTCGTGGTAAGGTATTACAGATTCTGGTCTATACATCCTTTACAGTTCAGGACCAAGGTATTCAAGAAGTTGTTGTAGTTATTGAAATTGGTGCCTAGATTAAGTTGAGCAGAATGTACTTGGAAGATACTAGCAGTGAATGAGCTTTGCATCTGGTGGTGGTTGGCCCTGATTATAGATACAGGCTCCTCTCTTGGGCTTTCATTTGTGCAGGGGATAAAAAAAATGAGACATAGCCTACTGTACTTTGTAGTATTGTTTGTAGTTTCCAAACAGTCACTTTGTGGGGACACAAAGCAAATACAGTGCCAGCCGCTCTGGGGCAGAGGAGGTCACGTGAGCCTCAGGGTCTGGCTTCTTGCTGCAGTCTGTGCTTTCGTTGATCTACAAACCTGTGCTGTCTCTAGGATGATTTGAACATGACATTGTCATCTCTGATTTCCCTTTGCCTATCAGTTGTTTAGTATCTCACAATTTTCTAACCACCTTCTAAAACATCATCAGAAAAAGACAGTAAGAATCTGAGATTGGGAGAAAGTGAAATATTATTAATGATAATAAATAACTATAATAAATAGTAAAATAAGTAATTCTAGGAGAAAATATAGCATAATAAATGGTATATTTTTCCAGCAGTAAAGCCCATATTTAAATATTCTTTTTTTAAAAGAGGACTTCAATATTTGATCTATTCTGATGCAAATTTTGTATCTCAGCAGCTAAAATAAAGCAATCATTATTTTAGTTATTGTTACTTTGCGTTTTATTTTCCTTTTATGTATTTGAAGAAATTACATTTTAAAAATATGTGGACTGGTCTGTGAAATACACAGACAAGAAAAAACTAAATCCAAATAATTACTTGCGCATCTGGAGTTGCAGTTTTTCCTGTGGTGGGCAGCAGTCTCACAGCATTGAAAATCTTTGCAACTATTTAATTTGAACTCTGAAGACAAGCAGAAAAGTCTAAATATTGTGTATGTAGCATGAATGGATTCTAGCACTTTGAGGGGAAAATGCGATTAAATTCTAAGGCAGTTGAACTAACGTAGGCCACACTGCTAAATTTGGCAGAAATTGATCCAGATGATATTGGGGAAAGGGACAGCAGGAAAGATCATACGCAAACACATATATTCACACAGGTGTGCACAACTTTTGTTTCCTTAGAAAACCAGACTTAAAGTCCTGCAACAGGTTTCTGTATTAGACATAGACAAGTAATTGCTTTGACTTGAAATTAGTAAGGGCTACATGATGAAACTCAACCAAGTAGTCAAATTTAGGATGTAAAAATATCCATGCCACACAAATTACTTGTAAAGTGGAAATTAATGGCTAGAAATAAAATTCTTAGCCTCCTAGGCTAGATTATGTGCTCCTCCCCTCGTGTGGAGGGCAGTTAAGCACCAGGGGGTTGCTTCCAAGACCTTGCTGCTGTTTCTGGTAATTGGCAAAAATAAAATCTTCAAAAGGACACACGTGTTCAAGGAACCTAGATTTCATTGCCATGTGACTTTGCCTTTCATAAGACACAATCTTAAAAGAAAAATAAGAGGTACTCAAACTCAAATGTGAAATTCTTTTTTTCTGAAAAAGGAGTATATGTGCTTTTCTACGTTGTGCTTTAATTGTTTTTTGAAATGCAGTGCTTCAGTTGGGAATGCACCAAGTAGCTAAGCCTTTGCTTGATGAGACTTTGCACTCGAATGTGATGATAGAAAACCATTTCTGCTACATTTCTTCTTCAGGGTATAACCACTTGAAAGCGGATATTGACTGCAGTACATTGAGATGACAAAGCTGTACCTAGCAGATATAATCCCACTGGGACCTATCTGGAGAATCTCAGGTTTATAAAACTGGAAAAATGAAACTGTTAAAATGAGACATAACTACCAGAATTTTTGTTATTCCATGAAGTACTGAACACTATGTGGCCATTTGGAAAAGAATTCCAACAGAAATGAGCACTTATTAATAAGTCTAGTAAAACTAACAAAGTGGAAGAGAGCCACACATGACACTTAATTCTGGAATTCGTACACAGGCCAAGATCTTTCTCTCAGAAAAACTACAGATGAACTGGCCCTGCTCTCTTCACAATAGACTGGTTGTAAAATGTAATACAGCTGCCACAATTTTCTCACTACTGGACTGCAGCAAGATGTGTAAGGACTCAAGCCATAGCGAAACATGCATTTATTAAAATGAAAAATTAATTCAGAGTTCATTCATTTCTTTGTAACCACAGGTGCATGTCCCTGGTGAAGTGTATAGAAATTGAAAGCATCTTTCTCAAAATACCATGTCACTGTAAGAGAACATCATAACATTCCCAATGCAATTTCATGCAAGAATAAGAATTTGTTTTAAATAGCTTTGCTCTCTGACTAAACTCTGAATAAGACTTTGGATTAAATATATGTTTGAAATAGAAACACTGTAATTACTTCATAACCATGCCACAGTTAACAATCCCAAGATTTAAAAACCTATATTAACAGAAAACTAGTGTTTTCAGCTTCTCAGGTTATTAAGTTATCCTTCTCATTCTGTAATGCACTTCAGCTACAGTTAGTATCTGTGTATTACAGTTAGTATCTATGTATTAATGCTACTAATTTCTAAAAAATTACCCTTTCATTTTGTATATACTTAAATATTGAAGCATAAATCCTCAGAGACACTGAAAGTCTCTGTCAGGTATGTGATATGCGTGAGGAAGAATATTGTCATAATTCATTCTTTTGGAAACCTCTAAAATGCTGTTGCAGAGTACCAGTTTTATGGCATACACAGTGTGTTATTCAGCAGAAGACAAGAAATGAATGCGTGATTTGTTGGATTCTCCCAAGAATGCTGTCACTTATGGAATCAAGGTAGCTAGGAATAAATGCTTAAGAGAATAAATTTGCATTGAAAACTACATTCAGCAAGATTAATGTTGCAAAAATACCTCTTCAGGTTGCATGCTGCTCTATTTTGTGTACAGAGCATTTGAAAGGTTTTTTAGGCTGGGGTATGGACAACTGAAGTGCTAATTGCCATGCATAAACCAGAAACAAGAAATAATCTTGACAGGCTGTTACCATAAGTACGGTGAACTCCAGTGGAGATGACCACAAATCCTTTCGTATTAATTGTACCTTTGAGAGAAGCACTGCAGCGTGCTGTAAGCAAAGCGGTAAGGTAGGCCCTAGAGAGAAGTACTAAGTGGCTGACAAATGCTGTCTCTGGGTGCTGTTATCACATCATTACAATTCAACAACACCTGTGACAGTGACGTTGATCATATGGGTGATCATCAAATGGCAAAAGGGAGCATAACTGCAGCTGACATATTGGGTACAGCTATTCTCTAGGTCTTGTTGCAACAAAAAGCAGCTCCTGAAGTGGGGAGGGGGAGTCAGGTTGATAAACACAGCAAGGTTGTCTTCTTAGTAGACATATGGCAGAGAAACCAAGGAAAAAAGCCATCAGGAAGACAAAAGGTTCATGTCATCCACATGGGCAAAAAAATAACAATGTACCCTGGCTACCATAAAAGAGCCAGTGCAACACATACAAAGCAGATGTAAAGTCTTTCTGGGGAACAGCACACAGGCCCACAACTGCAGAAAAAGGCAAATTGTTAAAGACCAGACAGCTCTCAGTGCTTTGTCTTTTTAAACGAAATAAATTCCACAGTGGAAACTACCATATAATGGTGCAGCCAAAGAACCTCTCACGTCAGCAAAAGGTTCTGCAGTGGATTGATGGCAATCTGTCTGACCCTGAAATAAGCCCAACTCAGAAGAGATAGTTTGAAGAGGAGAGCAGCAAGTATTCTAGCTAATTTTGTAGCAGGAAGAAAGAGTGACACCAAAACGGGACATGGGAAAATGCAAACACACTTACTGGCATTTACCTAGCCTGCCTCTAGTGAAACCCAAACTAAAACTAGACAAGCAGTCAAAAGTCAGATTTTAATTCACCCATAAATATTTAGACCAAACAAATAATTTAAGAGGAAATTGTCACTACCTGTGCCATTAAACACAGCCAGAAAAATTTAGTTTTCTAATCATCTGATAAAACCTAACTAGAATTGGTGGTAGGGAAGATGTCATTGTTTATGAAGCATTTGCAAATATGACCTTCTGTTGTGTAAACAGGAGACTGGTAATTTTCCAGTATTGCAAAAACCCAGAATGTTTTGGAAAATTATTTCAAAACCTAAGCATTTTGATGAGATAATGATGTCATTTGCCTTGCCTTATCTTTGCGATCGGGCAGGGTGCTAGATAATCTCATCTAGCCCCCCTTTTCCATGAATGATTGGACCAATTGATCCTTTGAGGTCCCTTCCAACCTGGGCTGTTCTGTGATTCTGTAATTCTATGATCTTCTCTTGTTCCCCACATGAAAAAAGTGTGTCTACCTGTTATAGAGAAGAATATCTGGCTTCCAAATCAGTCCATCAGGAAAACGGACATTCTTCACTCCTGGGTATTCAGACACGTTCCACTGTAGGTAATGATCTGTCCAGTACTAAGACATACACACAAAAAGTAAGTTAAGGTATCTCATCCACTGGTTCACTGTAGTTCTTTAGGGACTGGGGAGCCTGAAACAATAGTTGTTTTCTTGTTCATGAGATATTATTTAGCTTCAGGCAGTGAAATGGTTGGAAAGGGTGAATTAGGCCACCTTGAGCCTAGTGGAAAGCATAAAAATCTCATTTTCAGTTCACACTGCAGTGCACCTAACAGCCTATAAAGGATTTGGGGTGCTTCAGTTTTATTGTCCATGCTGTCTCAGGTGCCAATTTGGGATAGAATGGATTTTCCTTTTACAGTTAACCTAAATTATGTTTATCGTCGTAGACAACTTTGTTTTCTGTTGTTGGAAATTCTCAGGTTGTAATAACTTGATTATAGACATGAGGTAGAGCAGCCAACAGTTACTGCTGACACGGAAAACAACTGAAATGGCAGAAAGGTTCATGCTAGCACAGAAGGTCTTAGCAGCTCCTGTGGCCTGAAGTTAGGCAACCTCGGGGGCAGATGCTCTACAGCACTGCATTGTCCCACAAGCTTCCTTCCTGGCTGGCACTTACTGCCCTGGAGGCATCTGCCCTGGGGACCACCCCTGCTCCTTTCAACCCGTCCTTGACTGCCACCATAGGCAGGGAATCTGTCGTGGTCCAACCAACAGGGGTTTGATCTGTGTTTGGCGTTGCTAAATCCCAGATACTGTCATTGAAACATGTGATCTGAGTTGTGCATTGCTTTTTCCTCTTGCTTTACAGATAATAGTTTTTTACAGAAATCTTAAATCAGAACATCTGATCAGCCCTGTTCATAGTATTTTCTTCTCACTGCCTGCTCCATTCACAGTTATCTAATTAAACTATGTGCATTGCTCACACTTATTTATATACAGCTTCTGTAAACTGATCAACTGCTTCTCATCTTTTTTTTTAAATTTTACATCCATTTTTACAGTAAATTGTATTACATGAACTTCGCAATAGACAAATGTCACTGTATTTTTTACCACTTCATCTTTTTGGAATGTGGATGTACTGAGATCATCAGGATACCTCTATTTTTTACAAAGTCCAGCAATGTAAAGAAATACGATGTGTGGTTTTGAGGCATTTAAACCTGCGGGTGCTTGTTGGCATTAGGTGATTCATTTTTAGGGGCTGACAGAACAGGCCACCTTCTGAGGAGCAGTTGCAGGGCTGGGGCTGGCAGGCTGCAGGCGGCTGCTGCAAAGCTTGCTGCCTACCGGCTTGGTTGTGTGCAGGTCTGAGTTGCATTACAATGATTTATATCAATATATCCAGTAATTTCTTATTCTAACTTCTTTTAGGAGTTATCGTGGCTGATATGATGTAGCATAGGGTGACACTGAATGATATAAAGACAGTCAAAGGGTGATAAAAAACTTAATATTGAAGTAGGTATTAGAGATCATGTTAAGCAGATTGTACGGTTGCTGTTTTACCATGCGTACGAAGTGCTTACCCATCCAGCGGGATATGAGCTGCCTCATTTTGTTTTAACTTTAGAGCTACAATCTCCACTGTAGCTGAAGTACATTTGATGGGATTAAAATAGCAAACAGGTCAGGGTACTTGGGTTAGTATTCATCTGTGTGACTAGGCAAGGCTCCTGCTGTAACTTAGATGAAGTTTAAGATTTTGATACTGAACAGTATTGCCAAGGAGGTGGTGGTCAGAATCAAAGAGTCTGCATGTATAAATACTAGATTTATATTTCCAGTTTAGTTTTTGTATTTAAGTATTTCAGTGATTATTAGAAAAAGTATGTTTAAGATAACATCTTTGATTGTACACACATATGTATCAAGAAAGGGAGTGGAGAGGGAAATTTGGGGAAAAACTTAGTTCAGACTGTTTAGCATAATAAAATGACATATGTTTGCCTTAAGCATGCTTTGAATCAGTCTAGTATGACATTAATATGCAAACACTTTTTTTTTTTAAGGTGTACATAGGCCATGAAGAGTGGCTACATTTTTTGTAGTAATCAGGTAATCTGCTCATTGCAGTCTTAACATGGTCCACATGCAGTATGTGCTAAGGTGAATCAATCAAAAGAAATACAGAATATATAAAAGAATCAGGAATTTCCTTGGGTGGGGGGAAATCTCAAAAAGGATGAGGATGCTGTGGTATAAAAGAGAAGGAAAATAAGTGATAGCTTCTTGAGTATGAATTTTCCTGGTAAGAAATCATAGCAACTGTTGTCACTGTAGCTCAAAGCCAAAAACATATTATATTTGACAGTTTTAATCTTACTGTACAAGTCTGTAAAATAACATAAGCTGAATGCTTCTTCCATGTCAACTTTTCTTTGTGAATAAATGGAATAGCCATGCTATCCTTTGTGGGTCAACGAAATAGTCTTTCATTTGTTTCCTAAGGCCTACCACAGTGCAAGAGAAGTGGTCTATAAAAAATGCTACCATAAAAGAAAAAAGAATACTTTTAAACTGAACGAGCTGGTTAAAGAAACTGAAGGGTGTAAAGTTTATGTGGAAGCAGCATGCTTATCTGGAATAATAAAACTCTTCTGTAAACCTTTACTTAACCCAAACAGTTCAGTTTCTGTAATACATATGGGAATTAAACTAATGGCAAATTCTCATCCTAGCTGCTATAGTATGGAGAAAGCTCCCCATATCACCCCATCTTCATAAAGCACAAACTTACGGTAGAAATGTTTTGTGGAAGCTTTAGGAACCCACACTAGTCAGCATGGTAAGAAGCATCTTGTTAATTCTGTCTTAGTATTAAACTAATGCAAAAAAAATAACCAATCAAGTCAGACTAAATCTATGTAGGCTCCTTTGCTTAAGAGCAGCTCTCTCGCTAGTTAACCTTACAGAGGAAAGAAATTCAAAATACTTTCACAAAGTTCTTGAATATTCTATTATCTGTTCCATTTATTAAAAGTGAGTGAAACTTACTCCTGCCCAGCAATGCCTGCCATGAGTTAATGCAGGCAAAGTTCTCCGCTGTGGTAGCTAGTGGTGGCAATAGTTATGGTTAAGTAATAAGAGAGGATGTGAAATACTGTGACAACTATAGCAACTAAACATTGCAACAAAAGGTAAAATAAAAGCTACTGTTTGAAAAATGAACACTCTCTGTGGGCAAAACAAACTGGGAAACCAGGACAAAAGTATAGTGTTCCCAGCTGAACATTAGGAAACTGAACTGATGTTCCAATGCCCATTTTAGTCATATAACTGAGATGCAGAATTCAGACAAGTAGCATGACAAACCTCTCATGTTCACAGTTAACTTCTGATGATGACCTGTGTTTAAACAACTTTTTGAACAGCATGGCCATTTTAATTAAAATCCTCTTGCAGTTTCTAAAGGAGACAGACAGCAAAGCAAGTAGGATGGCAAAGCCATTCAGTTAGGACAGTAGCAGCAGCTCTCAGGAGACAATGAACCTCTTTGGAACAGTTTTTCCCCTCTATCAGAAGAACCATCTGGTGAATTTCAGAGTGCTGATAAGAACAACTGTTACAGATGAAATGCATTTCTTGCATGTATAGTTCTCTTTCACAATCAAATTATTTACCACAACGTAATGGATGGGTGATAAGGCACTTGCACCTACAGTTACTCTACCTGGGACTCTCAGGACACCGGTGTCTTATGACAATCAAGAGTTTAGCCTGACTAATTCAACTACAGTGAGTTAGTAACTTACTTAGATGTTGTGACTCAAATTCTTAAAAATTTTCAGAAATACCTGAAACCACAAGACTTAAATCTCAGCCTTACAGTTTTCCATTCAGCTTAACTTTGTCGACTATGTAGCAAAATATAGAACAAAAGCTTGAAAGTTTCCTAAAATTCAACCCCCTCTCCAGACAGATTAAACTCAAAGACCAAAGGGGAAAAAAAACACACGTTGTTTCAAAACTCACCATTTGTAGCCAGATGTTTGTTGTTAATACTTGATTCTTTTCATCCTGAGAGGAAGGAGAAGCAAAGGAAGAAGAAAAAATGAAACCACAGCTTAGTACTTTACACCAGTAAATATATTTGACTGTTATGAAATAGCGGGTTGGGCACCTGAGCAAAGCTTCGAACTTTGTGCAACGGAAGTTTTCACAGGTATTTTTAATGTATTTTGTATTACCACAGTCAATCAAACTGTTTCCTGAGGGTATCCTTCTACCAGATTCTTCCCTAGGGCTCCTTGTTTAATAAAGAATCTCAAAAGGAAAAGGAGATTACAGTAGGGGTTGCCTGTTTCACCTCTGTTAGGAGCAGCCCTCTCAGTAATTAACCTTCCACACCAGACATATGCAGGTAATAGAAAAAATACCGAACAAAGAAAGTGTGACTAATCTCAGATGATGTATGTTGAGGCTGTACTGAGTAGCTTCTTAATCGGCAAGTAGCACCACTGATACCAACGGAACTATACAAAAAGTATCAGCTTTAACAGAAAACTGTTGTCAGGGCAGAACTTTATTATTCTGCCTGGAACAGTTCCAATTTGAAGGCCTTCCCCCTTGCCTCCTATGACTATGTGATGCAAGTTCAGGTGACACAATAGGCATCTTAATGCTGCAGTTAATTAAAGAGTTTAATTCTTCACTCCTCAGACACAGGAAAATGTTGGTGACCTTATTTCTGTGGAGGTACTGTATCAGTATCCACCTGGGTTGTCTGAAGCTAATGGAATATACTATATAAACTGTCAGTATTACACATTCTCCAAAATGAACACACAATCCCTGTCCCAACACCAGTCAAAGCTTCATTTACAGTCTAAGGAGTGTCATAACAAGTTTCAGTCACCTGTAGAGCAGCAACTGTCAGAGTTGCTTGTACATCTAGACCTCCGAACTTAAATCTGTCACTCTTGAACTTAAATGCTGTTCCTAAACGACAAAAATGGCCAAAAAAAATGGTTTAATCACATTTCACTAAAAAAAGAGCTTGCTTTTTTTGATAATATTCTTTACTAAAGGTCAATACTCTTTACTCTTTTACTGTAGTTTGGTGGACTTACTAACTGAACAAAAGTCCTGAGAGACCTTTAACTGAAGCCATTTTAGAGCAGCACAATAGTAAAAAGTTACACAGCATGTAAAATCAAATACAGTGCAAGGGACAATGGCATTCTTAAAGGAACTGAAGCCTTTTGAGGAGCAGCATCAGTAAATATATGCCAGTGTTACTAGGTCATGTATAATCACAACTAAATGAACAACATACAGACAAATAAAAAGATTTTAGGTAAAGATCGTCATTGTGCATGAATAAAGTCTACCCTCAAATATGCATTCCTACATTCCTTTGAAATGAAAAGTGAAATAAAAAATAGAAAGAGGCCCAGACCACAGCTAGTGATTCAGCACTCTTCCTCTCTATTTTCTGCTTCATTACCTCCATGAACCTTACTTTTTCAGAAGTATCTCAAGTGATCAACTCATTTAAATGGCATCCTGGGGGAAACAGGTCTCTTTAACCCTTTGGTTTCAGGAATACATTATTAAACTGCATTGGATTAACATGGTGGAGGCATTGCTGAAGATACCAGCCAGTCAAAGCAGTAATTAATTTGCAATAGTAGCTGTTATTCTCTAGCCATACAAACATAAATTTGGTGCCTCTCTCAACAACCTGCTTATAGTATTAGAACACAACAAAACTAGTTTGCATGGAATCCTTAATTCATGAATGAGGAAACAATCCTTAAGAGATCATTCATATGGCCATGAACTAAAGTCTATAGACAAGTGTTGCAAATTAAGGACCTATAAAACCTGTATATGTTTCTATTCCTCATAGCTATTTTTAGGTCAGATGTAAATAATAATAACTTATTAAAAGTTTGATAGCATTTTCTCAAAGCTCTGTGTGCTGTCACAGATGAATGTGACAAGTTTCCATCACACAATGTCCCATCCATTGCACCTGAGCAAAGCCAAGAGCACCACTGCTGTGTGGTTTCTCTGCAGGGCAGGCAGTAGTTGTGTTGCTTTGCACAGGCATAACTGGCTACTCAAAGGTGCAGAGCAATTCAGAATCCATTATGTTGTGGGAAGCTTGTTTCAGGACTATTAGCTGAATGGCTTGTACTCCTGCATGGTTAAATTCTGTGCTAAACTCACTTTTTATTCCCAGTGTGATCTCTTTCTACACATGAATGGCCCCAGCCTTAGTGATGTTTCAAAAATTTCCGTTTTGGTAGCAGGAAAAGCCTGTACTAAAGCTGGAGTGCTGCTGGTGCTTAAGCTAATGATACGCCACAGGGATTTATTTCGAAGCCGTGAGCCCACAGCATAGTCAGATGAACTATTTTAGGAGTACCAGAAAGGAGCTCTACTATCAACCAGCACACATCACAGAGCCAGGCTAGAGAGCCATCACTGAGCAGCCAAACTAGCAGAGCTGAGGGGGACAGAAGACTTTTAATCCAGCTGTGCTGCTGGCAGAATGATTCAGCTGCCTGCCACATGGCCGGGCATCTGGGCACGTGGCAGAGCCACCGCAGGTTTGCCTGCAGGAGACTCTGCAGACTTATTCTGAAAGCCAAGAGTTATTCTGAAGTGTGATCTTTCACTCAAACCTAGCTCAAAGAGGGTATCCTGAGAGTATTAACTCAAAAGTAACTTGTACAGTGAAGACAAAGCCCTAAATGAAGATGGCCCGTGCTGTTTTCCTGGTGTTTCTTTCTGTTATGTTAAGCATTCAGAGCCTGAAAGAGTATATTTGAACAAAATAACTGCCACTTGGATCACTATCTTTAAGGTTCTATCAGTGTTTGAATCATAAATCCCATCATTTCTCCTCAGCTATGAAAACTTTGCTGCATGCTGAAACTTGGCTTATAGTGGGGGTTTTTTGTAGTGTTGTTTGGAGCAAATGGCTTCCAACACTTTAGTCATTATAGGATTGACTCGCCCATCACTAGTGGAAAGACTCTGATTTTAGATGGTTTGTCCCTCTCTATGGTGCCAAGTGAAGCTGGTGAAAGGTGGGGCAGGAGACATCCTTCAGGGTTTCTCCCAGCTAGGGAGGTTTTTTGGGACTGTTTTAAAAGCTTTACAGCAAACCGCATTAACACTGTTTTCCTCAGAGTTGTGCAGTACTTCCCCGTAAAATGATGGGTGAGCTTGAAATGCTTCATAGTACTTCACCAGTTTTTGTCACTTTGCAGTATTTTGTAAACACTTACAGAAAAAGTGTTGAATACAAAAATAAGGCAGCTTCTATAGCAAACCCCTTCTACTATAAAGGAACAAAGAAAAAGGACTTCACAATATATTCTGAGATGCTGGGAAAATTAGTCAGAGAATGAGACCAGAAACTATAGCGTGTTGTTTGGATTGGTGTGTTTTTTTCCCATACCAGCTACTTCAGGTTACTTGCTCTTTAGATACTACTGGCCAAGTAGTGCAGCTGATGAAGAGTTAGGTTTCATTCATGCAGTGGGAGGTGGGTGGGAGGCTGATTCAGTCTACTTGATTCATAACTGTAGTCATGATCTGCGAGGGCAGATGGCAAATTGCTACTGAACTGCTTATCACATTGTTTTATGGCAGTGTAGTTAATGAATGGAAAGTAGCTGACATCAGGAAGACCTGAATGGGCTTTCATTAATTTTTGAAGGTAGAGGTAACAATTTTTGCAAGTTTTTGAAGGGAATTGCATTTTCTCCATTCTTCCAGATCCCATCTCTGGTTTTGTCTGTCTTTTCAGTTTAAACAGTATCAGACTGATCACCTTTGGAACCACAGTATCAGATTCTCACATTATCCTTCCCTTACCCTGTGTTCAACAGAATATGTAAACAAAGAGATGCTTTGTGAAGGGCATTAGCCTGGATATTATAAACTTTGTAAGGAATGTTATCTGCTGACTTTCAAAGGGTTGTCAAGACATCTAATATCCACACTAGAAAAGCTATGCAGCAAAAAGCAAGGGGAAAAAGAAGTAAAATAAGCCTACATGCCTATAGACTGGCATGCAGGCAGTGACGTACAGCACCTAGGAAGAAGCACATGCTTCGCAGAAGACTTGCATAAAGTGCTGTCCTGACTAAAATCTGTTAGCTGTAATTCTTGCACTTCAAATACAGATTCTTTATTTTTACATGGTTGAATCTCACCTGAATTGCAGAAAAAGTAAGGCATCTCTGGACTGAGCTTCAATTACTATGAACCTTAATAAAAGTTCGTGGAAATATTTTAAGACATCCCTTGTTATGATAGGTGCCTGACTGGTATCTCGTAGCAAGACTGAAGTTAATAATTGTAGTCTGAAGTTAAAAATGGGCTGGTGGCCAGTGAGAGACATGTAAGGCACTCTCCATATAGATTTTCACTTCTGTTTGCTTGAATGTCATCTTACTGAAACCAGCAGGTTGAGCAGTTCATTAGCTCTTATCTCATTGTCTCAGCACTTGCTCATTAAACATTCTCAATATCTTCTGATCCACAATGCCAAATTACTAGCACCTAATGACATTTTTTCCCCCATCATTTAAAATGCTGTTATGTTTAATTTTTGCTTCACACAGCTTGGGGTTTTCTTCCTTTTCCTTTTTAGGGTCATGCACCAAGCTCACTAAGCTGTATAAAGTGAAAAAACCTGAATTCTTACAGGATTAGTACTGAGAGAATGGGCTGGAGGGTGAGTTAAGCACTCATAAAATGGCCAGTTGACAAAAGATTGATGCTGTGGCCATACTTTAGGCAGCCATAGTGTCAAGATGAATCTGAGCTCATCAAAACTTATGGAGAGTAGTGAAGGGGCTGGACTTACCTCTGTGCCTGGGAAGATCATGGAACAGATCCTCCTAGAAGCTATGCTAAGGCACATGGAGGCCAGGGAGATAATTCGAGATAGCCAGCATGGCTTCACCAAGGGCAAGTCCTGCCTGACAAACCTAGTGGCTTTCTATGATGGTGTGACGTCAACGGTGGACAGAGGGAAACCAATGGATGTCATC